GTGGCATGGCAGGGGCAGGGGCGGGGGGAATACTAAGCGTAACTTATTATGGGAGAGGTTTCTCCTTCTCTGAGGTGGAGATGGAGGAGTGGAAAACTTTGCGCTCAACTTTCCCAGCTTTCAGCTGCATGTGTTGCATGCTTTGTGGCGCTGGAAAGAAAGCATGAAAAATGCCCGAGAAGGGGGGGACAAACTTGTGGGAAGGCAGTGAAATTGTTGGGAAACTGCAGCTCCAAGTAAACAGGCAAAACTAATTTTTAATGTCTTGCCTAGAGAGAGGGGACTGGAGGAGGGGTCTCTGTCCGTTTGTCTCCGTTTGATAGCGGTGCAAAATGTTGGCACTTTGTCTCCTGACAGAAAGGATCATCAATTCGCGCAACTGCAGCACTCGCCCATCCCTCATCTCTCGCTAAAGGATCTCTGGGAGACTTCCACCCAGTGAAGGTAACGAAAAACGAGGAAAGAGAAGTTCGAGGAGAAAGTTCAAGGAGCAGCAGAAGGAGGATGAGACGGGAGGACAGCCGTTAACAACTTTTTTGCCAATAAATTTTCAATTTCCGCCTTGAAATTTGCAATTTGTTTCCCTGCAGCAGAGCTAATTTCCCCCTGACCCGTCACCCACCGTCGCTCTCCTCCTTTTTAAGTCAATTTCTGAGAGTTTTTCATGTCGGACTGCCATCAGATTTCCCACACGAGTAAAGGGGAGACAAAAGTACACCTGCAAATTGCATTGTCTGCAGAGGGGATTGCCCCATGTGGAGATCCGAGGAGGAAGCAATGGAAGTGGGGGGAGTCCCGTCCAATCCTTTGACAAGTAAACAGCTGCAGGAGTGCCTTCGCTGTGGCACTGCTCCCCCTCGTTCCTATCATAAATCACTCGGACAGAATTTGATTTGATTTGCAGAATCTGCGAAAATATTTCATAAATATTTACCATCGCATTTTTTTGACGCTTTTCCAACAGTTTTCCTGGCAACGAAGGGGAACTTTTGCAACTGTGAAAATATTTTCACGTTTTTCGTTTGTTTTCCTTTTGCTACTTTGTTGTGCAAATATTTTCCCACTTCGTTTTGCCCCGATTTTGCACTTCATTTGTGTCCGAAGGGGGAGGGGTGGGGCGTAGCTGTTTGCTTTCCTTTGATATGCGAAATTTATGCACCGATTGCATTCGAAGCGAGAGACTTTCCATCCCTGAAATTATGAAGAGGTCACTTCGGCCCCCACTGCAACCCACAGAGGGAGGAGCGACACAAGTGGGTGGAATGGGTTTAGTTTGCATACTTAACTCCGACAGCAGTGGAGAGATCGTTCCCCCCTGGAGGCCATTTCCATTGGATTTTAACGACTTGAGAGTTAAGTTTGCCCGCAGGCTCCGGGAATCCTTTTCCAAGCGAAAAATTAAACTTTGGCTCTGCAGTGATGGAGGAGGGAGGAGGAGGGAAAAAGCAACAGCAGGGAGCAGGGATTACAGCACCTAGGATAATGGCCAAACAGGACGCCAAGGAAAATGTTAAGGACATTCAGGGACATTCAAAATAATATTCCCCGAATATAAGCTCCGAATCATGGACATCATTTGTTTTATATTTTATATTTTGGGAATGTTTTACGAAGTTCAAAATGCAAATGCCACAGCCTATTGGTGCCCAAAAGGAAAGAGAGGGGAAGAATAGATGTAGGCACACTGCTCTAGATCGGATTGTTCACCACAGGATGGTGAGTGTTGTGTCTGCGCAAAGGAAGTTGATTTCGTTGACTAATTATATATTATAATTAATGATTAATGATTATAACTATTGTAATTAAATGGAGAAGAGAACTGAAATGGTTCAATATTTTTTATAGTCGGCCGATGTGTGCACACTGGTTGCTCCCTCCCTCTGCAATCCACCCACCTCTCTCTGTGGTCCATCCCTTCGTGTAAAGCACAGCTGGGGCCCCTTGAATAAGGTTTTACACGTTAATCCCTCGGCCCTCTCGGTTCTGTGCTCTCTCTTATTTGTACATATAAATATTGGCCGTCTATAGGAGGCTCTGAGTTCGAACTTCACTCTATACCGGCATGGGACTGCATCCCATTCGAATCCTCGTCTTCCGATGATGAAGCTCAGTCGTTCTCAGACATGTTGCAAAATAACAAAGGCGGAAAGAACCGACACGAATAAAAATATTTTATTTTATTTTATTGTTTTGTAATTTGGAGTTTTGTAGTATTTTTCGGTATTTTGTAGTATATACTGGTCTACTATACTGGTACTGCAACAGAACAAATGTGATATTAGAGAGGAATAAAATAGACAGCAGTAGAATCCCTGATATTCGTCCTTGAGGGACATGCGATGTATCATATGAAAGGTGTTGGATCATAGATCAAGAGTATGCATGATAATTCACTCGGTTCGAAGGAGGATCAACTTATCAACTTTTATTTATGATTATTGAATTTTTAAATAAAAGTCACGGAATAACTCTCGTTGTCACCGTTTAAATAAAAACGATATTCAATTCATATTTTTATTTTAGTTAAACAAAATCACAAGTAACTCTTACTCTTTTATATTACAACTTATAACAGTTACGGTTCCTGCCTGGAATCACTTGATCCAAAGCCAAAAAGGGGAAAGAATAAGGAAAGAATTATAAATCGTATTACATTGCTGACTAAGCACGCCTACTGCCCCCCATCCATCCCCTCTTACCCTTTGCCAACTCAATTTGTCTAATTAACTTATTTTCGGCCTGCCCCAGCCACACCCTCGAGGGTGGAGTATCCCTCTCCGGCTGAAGGGCTTTCCCATCTCCAGTCAAAGATGGAGGGGGAATCGGAATCCCTGCGATGCTTCACATCCTTTATATCCCTTTTGGGTCGTGTCTGCTTGTAATTATGTGAGCGGGATAAAAATATCAGCGGAGTTGCCTAATTGCAGGCGACAGTCTCGGGGGCGGCTCACGTGGCGTATACGCAACGCGGGAGAACTTTTCCCGCATTCCATTTTCCAAGGCAAACCTTTGAGATGTTGTCGTTATTTTTGAGCCTTATTTAAAAGAAAATCACGCACGTGGGTGGCAAATGGGGTGCAAAGGGAAACAATTCTAATTGTCAGCATTGTCACACGGGGGAAGGGAAAGGGAAGCCCCAAGGCAGTGATGTGCCTATAGAAGTGCGTTTGACGCTTCAATGCTGCGTTTAATCACGGATTTAGATGCAGAGAGGGGCTGGAGGTAGAGAGGGGCTATCAAATATCCGACAGATAAGAGATACAAGTGAAGGAGCTGATGGCGGAGTGAATGGGGAGGAGAACCCCCAACCAACTGTGACCACAAACATTTCCACGTCTCCTCTCAGCTGCAATCGTTTTGCGGTTTCCCAGAGAAGGAAGGGGGAGGCAGGAGAGAGCCGAGAGAGGCGAGGGACCCGCCACAATTGGAGACCATTTCATGTTAAATTAAGCTGCGAATGCGAATGGTTGAAGTCACTTTCAGGTTCCTCCACCACAGCAGTGGGAGTCGGAGTCGGAGGCGGAGTCCCTGCCCAGAAATCATTCCGGTTATGCAGCGATGCAAATTGGATGAGCCGCAGGAGGTCCCCCGTTCCAAAGGATCCTCGCAGGTGCTCCGGCTGTTTGCAGTTTCTTTGTTGTGGTCAGCAATTAAAAATTTAAGCTGCAATTGTGTACTCGGAGAATCCTAATACTAATTCCAATTGCAAATGCAAATGGCAAATGGCCGCAAGGGACCGTCAAAGGACCGTCAGCCACCCCACAGGACACAGGACAGAGGACACAGGATGCGGCTCTGCTCTTATGAGAATGCGGTTGGATAATGGATTGGATCTGCTTATAAATGTACTAGCCAGAGGACAAATACGGAGGGTACTTGCATCCAAATTGAATTCTGCTCGGACAATAATAAACAACATTTAATGCGGACCCAACTCTTCCCTCCTGACAAGGGAGTGGACCAAAGGGTCGGAACTAATCAGCTCAACATTTTACCCAAGGTTTTGCTTCCAAGAGGAGGAGGAGCCTCTCACCTGTCACTCGTCCAAATGCTGCCAAAAACAAACTTCGAAAGGAGGAAAAAAATGCACGCGAAATGAAAAGGGAAGCGGGAAAGGGAAAGGGCAAGGGAAAGGAGATGCCGTTTACTGGTGACAGGTGCTAAAAGTTTTCCAGTAAACATAACTGCCACAGAGAGGGGTGGGTGTGGCAGGGGGGCAGGTGCAGGTGCAGATGCAGGAGAACTGTTAACTTTGCAACAGTGTCAAAAACTGCAGGCGCATCGGCATCGGGGGAACAAGTTGAAGCCATTCGAAAGTTTGTTGCGGCCAGCAGCGGGCAGAGGAGGTGCCAGCAGGTCCAATCGAGTGACATCGATGGGATGTCCCGATGGGGAGTACTTCTTGTTCTTGTCGAGTGGCAGGTCAGCCTGAGGTCATATCGGATGCCCTCTCAGCCACCAATCGAGCCTAATTAAGCGAAGATTCTCTGAGAGATGAGAGGATTTCCATCGCCCGACTGCCCAGACATTCTCCATCCCACATTCTTCTCCCCATCCCTGCTCGCATCTCAGCTGCTCAGTGAGGCATCACAATTGTCGTCTGAGATGTGTGGGACGATGCCAATCGAATGGCATTTAATTTGCACAACTTCAGAGACTTCCACGGCAGTGCAGGCCATCAATTTGGGACGTCTCTTGGTTGGGCAATCCTCCTCCGTTGGTTTCTGCTTGTCTGCTTGAAGAACTCTGCAAATGTGAAGTGGAATATCCCAAGGGATACCTCAAGTGGTTTATGTTCTGTATTTTGGATATATTTGTTGATGTGGAATATGGATTGCTCTTCATTAAATGCACCCTCGGAACGAGTCCAATGGGAAATTACTTTGCCCTAATGGTTTTCTTATCAAGCTCTCTTCTTTGCTATCCCATCAGCAGCACTCGACATCGAACATTTCTGATTATTGTCCTGTCAGCACTTCATTCGGATCCGAACTTCAACAATGCCACAACAAGCGCGTCGCGGCTATCGTCAGCGAGTCGCTCACTTCACTCTGAAGGCGACTCTGTACGGGTCCTGGGCACTGGGCCTGTTCCCGTTCACCTACGACTCCCGGACGCGGCAGTTGAGCCGCTGCCGATGGCTTCTAGCGTATGGCCTGGTCCTGAACCTGGCCTTGTTGGGGCTGTCGCTGCTGCCAGACACAGACATGAAAAATTACGTCAAGATAGAGGTGTTCGACCGGAATCCCGTGGTAAAGCATGTGGAGGGACTGGTGGAAATTATCAGCTTGCTGAGCGCCCTCGTTATGCATCTGCGAACTTTCTGGAAGAGTAAGGAAATGGCCACCATAATCAGCGAGCTCCTACTCCTGGAGAAGCGACACTTCAGCCAGCTCATCCTCAGGGACGGGGACCAGTTCGACCAGTATGTAATCGAGAAGTTCCTCATGGTGCTGTTGGAAGTCTGCTCCTCGCTGGTGATCTACTTCGGAGTACCTAACAGCCGTGTCGTGATCACGAAAGCCTTCTGCATCTACCTGGCGCAGTTGGCCGTGCTCCTGGGCGTGACGCACTTCCACCTGGCCGTGATCTACATCTATCGCTTCGTGTGGACCATCAACGGACAGCTGCTCGAGCTGGCCAACCAACAGCGGCGCGGCCAGCGGGTGGACACCGCTCGGATCCAGCTGCTGCTGTGGCTGTATAGTCGCCTGCTGGCACTTAACTCTCGACTGGCTGCCATCTACGATATTCAGGTGACCCTCTTCATGGTCACGCTCATGTCTGCCAATGTCATGATCGCCCACGTGCTCATTATTTTCTGGAACAACAGGAGCAGGTTCTCGCTCCTCGAAGTTGCTCTGATATTCCCCAAGCCCTAGTCATCAATTTCTATGATCTGTGGCTGAGCATAGCCTTCTGCGACCTGGCAGAGCGCACCGGCAGGCAGACTTCGGATATTCTCAAGCTATACAATGATGGGCAGCAAACGGATGAAGAACTGCAGCGAAGTGTAAGCTATAGTCGATGTATCTTTAATCCGATTCCGAATCCATCTGTTCGTATTGCAGCTCTCGGACTTTGCACTGTTCTGCAGCCATCGCAGGCTGAGGTTCCGCCACTGTGGACTGTTCTACGTGAACTATGAGATGGGTTTCCGGATGATCGTCACGAACATTTTGTATCTGGTGTTCCTGGTGCAGTTCGATTACATGAACCTGGAATACAAATAAGAGTTCCCATCAATCGATATGTCCACACAGTTTTTGCTCCTTTAATTAGCTGAAAGCCTTTCGGTTAGATGGTTTAATTTTGATATAAATATTAATGGCCGGGCTGCTCTTCTGCCACAACACATGGAAAGGCAGTCGGCAATGTTTCGACGGCGTGAGGGCTTCGCGGCGAAACTAACTTGGCTCGTCCTGCGGCTAGCACTGTGGGGCTCGTGGGCCTTCGGTCTGTTTCCATTCACCTTCGACCCGCAGGCGAGGCAGCTGAGGCGTCACAGTTGGTTTCTGGCCTATGGCGTGGCGATAAACAGCTTGCTGATGTGCCTCGTCGTCGTGAGCTCTTTCTATAGTGCAGAAACTGTGCAGAATCTGGAAATCTTCAAGCGAAATCAGCTGCTAGAATGGATCGACGTACTCATCGGGATCCTCGCTCTAATTGCCAGCTGCGGAACACACTTCATTACCTTCTGGAAGAACGGACAAGTTCTGAGAATTCTGAACGAGCTGCTGGTCTTGGAGCATCGACACTTCTGGTGCCTTGATGTGCAGGATGCTTCCAAATTCAATTTCTATGTGATCCAGAAGGGCATGTGCGTTGTGGGTGCTGTGCTGAGCGTGCTGGTGGTGAGCTTCGGAGTGCCCGAATTATATACGTCGAGTCTCTTCTTGGTGATACTCTGCTTGATGGAGTTCTGTGTGCATTTGGTGGTGATGCACTTCCTCCTGGCCATCCTCTGCATATATCGCTATGTGTGGCTCATCAATCGACAGCTCCTTGCTGTGGTGAGTCGATTGAGAGTGGACCCTCGGTCAGACACTTCGCGGATTCGGCTACTCCTCTCCCTGTACGGTCGCCTGCTGGCGCTGAGCAACGAGTTGGAGGCCACCTTTGAGGGCCAGATCACACTGATACTGGCATCCGGACTGGCTGGCAACATTGTGATCATCTACTTCCTGATCGTGTACACCGTCAGCCTGGGCCAGCTGTCGATGCCCCTGATCATCTTTCCCTTCTCCTTGGCTATGAATGTGTGGGACTATTGGCTAAGCATTTCCGTGTGTGATCTCACCGAGCGAACGGGCAGGCGCACCTCCACAATCCTGAAGCTCTTCAGTGACCTCGAGCATACCGATGTGCATCTGGAGAGAAGTGTAAGTAAATCGATTCCTACTCTTGGTGAGCAGCAGCTGAGAGCCCTTTTTCCCAGCAGATTAACGAGTTTACGTGGCTCTGCAGTCATCGCAGATTTCGATTCAGGCTGTACGGATTTATCTCCGTGAATTATCAAATGGGTTTCCAGATGATCGTCGCCACCTTCACGTATCTGCTCTGTTTGGTGCAGTTTGATTTCATGAATTTGTAGGAGATCCACAGTGTCCCCACAGAGTGTGGATAGAGTTGCATTCAGAAGTAAAAATCAAGTGCGAGTTATAATTCACTTTGCATTTTCTTTCCGTTCCCACTGGTGATTGGACCGTAAGTACATATTAATATTAGCTAACAGCTAAGGCCGTGTGGATGGTGAGAGCGCTAACAGTGAGCTGTAAAAGAGAGCAGCCACAGACTGTTAACGGAGTGTGGCCAGAGGCTGTTAACGGACAGGGGCCAGATACTGTTAACCTGGGCTATTAACAGCGCTGTTGCTCTCTTAAAGCTACTGCCTGGACACGAAGCCTTTGAATAAATAAGAATTGAGTACTTAACACATTAAATATTAATCCAGAAGCAATCTTACAATTGTATGAAATTAATATTGATAGTGCTACTTCCCCTACCTACGGGAAACCATTCATGCATGATGCATCCAGCAATTTAATTATTTCAGCACTTCGACCGAATCTTCATCGATTTTCAGCTTGATTTGGGCCTCCGTATGGATGGGCGACAACAGTTGCCTTACGATGTTCCGACCACGTCGTGGCTGTCGTCATAAGTTGGTTTGTTTCATACTCCGCTCGATTCTGTACAGCTCCTGGGCTCTTGGCATTTTCCCCTTTACGTATGCCTCCAAGAAAAGACGATTGCGTCGCTCCAAGTGGCTATTGGTCTACGGCATTGCCTTCAACACGACTCTGGTGGTGCTGATGCTGCGACCACATGGTGGGGAAGAGGCACCCGTGGCGAAGGACCCCAAGTTGGACGTGTTTCGGCGCAACTTTGTGCTGGAGCAAATCAGCCTGATCCTGGGAGTTGGCGGAATAATCACAATATGTGCGATGTATCTGCGAACCTTCTGGCGGAGCAGAGACCTGTGCAGGATCTACAACCAGCTGCTGGAGTTGCAGGTGAAACACTTTGCAGACTCTGCCGTGGAGTGCCCGACCTTCGATCGGTATGTGATCCAAAAGGGTTTGCTCATCGTCGGGGGCGTGGCATCCACACTGGTCATCCACATTGGCATGCCCAACGAGTCCGTTTCGCTGGTGAAGCTGGGCAGCTTCCTGCTGGCCATTCACTTCCACCTGGGCGTGGCATTCATCTACCGTTTCGTGTGGCTCATCAACCTCGAGCTTCTTGACCTGGCCAATCGGCTGAGGATCAGGCCGGAAGCCGGAAGCTCCGCTCGTGTTCGCCTCCTCCTGTCGCTCTACAGTCGCTTGCTGGAACTGAGCGCACGACTCACCGCCTGCTATGACTACCAGACAGCCATGATGATGACCATTTTCCTGGGCGGCAACATCATCGTCTCCTTCTACATGATCGTCTACAGCGTCAGCCTCAGCCAGATGTCCGTGTTTGTAATGCTGGTTATGTTTCCGCTGGCTCTGGTGAACAATTTCCTGGACTTTTGGCTGAGCATCGCAGTGTGCGACCTGGCGGAGCGGACGGGCAGGCAAACCTCCATGATCCTGAAGCTATTTAATGATATGCAGACATTGGACCAGGAGCTGGAACGCAGTGTAAGTTGCCAGGGGGGGAGGCGGAATATATACTGCTGATGCTTAAAGTGTTTATTTTGCATTGCAGTTCTCCGAATTCGCTTTATTCTGCAGCCATCGCCGGCTGAGGCTCCATCACTGTGGCATGTTCTACGTGAACTTTGAGATGGGCTTCCACATGCTCGTCACGAGTGTCTTGTATTTGCTCTTCCTGGTGCAATTTGATTATATGAATTTGTAATTCGTACGAGTGCGCAGCAGGACACATCATTAGAAGTAGCAGCCAGGCACAAAGTGAGGGGAAGTCACCCCAGAGTCAATGGGAAATAAACTCTAAGCCGTAAGCCGTAAGCTGCAAGCCTCCACACAGTTGGCTCAAAGCGAATGAGTTGCAATCAGAGCAGAAGCCAAGCTCAGATATGTAAGGAAATCGGAACATGGCCGCGGGGCAGCAATAAAAGAAAAACTCCCATTCAGAAAACGCTTTGTAGGAAGCCAAAAAGAGGAACACACAAGAGTGAAAAGAGTCTAAAGAGAAGCAGTGCAATTAAGGCCGAGAAATGAACGAGTTTTTCAGCTTACTGTACTTTTTGGCTAAGCTCAGAGTGGAGGCAGTCCCCCCTCCTTTCCTTCCCTAGAGAACAATGCAGAGAAAGAAGAGAAAAGCGTGCACAAAGCAGAAACTAACATGAGCAGCCGCAGTGCATTTCCTTTACTCTACTCCCCTCTCTCCAGTCCTTTTGTTGGCCAAGTTTGCACAGGCTTTTGCTATTGGATGTGTGCTCTCTGTTCGGTGCTCTGCTAATTTCCGTGACTGCGACTTTCCAGTTTCATACGCTTTTCCCTCGCCGCCTAACTATGGCTGATTTATGCTTTCCCATCTGTTATTTTATTCTTGGTGCAAGTGGAAGATTCAATTCCACATTTGTCCAGACATTCGGCTACATTTAGGCCAAGCGGCTACAGGGGAAAATACACAACTGACAGCAACAATTAGGCCAACAATGGGAGACGCAGCACAGAAGCCACACAATGGCAGACACACACACACACACACAGAAAGGGAGAGGAGAGCACAAGTGGGCGGTGTCCTTGGCAGGAGGAAGCCATCGCTGTCAGTGACAGGCCTCTGGTCCCCGTCGAGGGGCCCAGCCCCCATTATCTTCGATTATCGAGAGAGCACAAAGCCAGCGGCGATAGCACAAGCACCAGCAGCAGCAGGAGCAGGAGCAGCAGCAGCAGAGGCACTCCAAACAATCGCGTAAATTGATTTTTATTATCCTGTGTAGGGGATTCTCTTTTCGACCCATTCAAAAAGGCTGGCTTGGCTCTCCTGCCAAGTTTCTGGCAAATTTCCTGCTCATCTGCACGACGGGCAAACAAAATATAAGCCAGAGTGTACACAGGCATTTGATTTATTGCCTTCGTCCAGGACATCCGCCAATTGTTGGAGGGCCACGTGGCCCTGCTCCAGCTACAGCTCCAGCTTCGCCTCTTGCTTCTCTGTTCCTCCGCTCCCTTGTTTGCACAATAAAAACCCCGCTCGATGGGTCAACATTCCTGCTCTTAGCAGCTCGTCAAATGTTTCAGATAATTCGATTCGATTGGATTCGTCCCTTCGTTGATTTCTGCCAGCTTTCAATATATATTTTTATTAAAATGACAGCATCTGGTTATGGCTCTCGCCCCGAAATGAGATGAGCGAACAATGCCTGAGGACAGCAGTTTTTCCGCGGGCAGGGCGCCAAAATATCATAAAAATATATTCTTTTATGATGATTTGCTGTGTCAGCGGACAGCAGAAATATTTCTGACACGACACCTATTCCACGCATAGTCGTCGCATAGTGATAAGTTCTGGAATCGTTGTTCGATTTTTATGTCAGTGTTATAGCCGTGCAGGGTATACTATAAGGATTTCCTTTGTTAAAGCTCAAAGGGAAGTAACTGTATGAGGGAACGATATAGTGGACCGTGTATAGGGAGACTCTGCAGGACACTGCTGGGTGCCTTAACAGCATATAATAAATAAAATCAAGAACTTTCTCTCAGCTGCTCTTCGTTTCTTTTGCGATTTCCTTTCAAGTGAACTAAACTTTTTGTACCAAGGCAGAAATTTCTCATTAAATAAATATTTTAGCAGCGTTTGAGACTTGCCACTAATTGCTTTGCTCCTCCTGGCTTTACCCAGCCCCTGCACCCGCTGTTGCTCTATTTCTCTATCGCCGGAGACACAAATCGGCTTTGCTGGTCGCTGAATTGTTGTTTAAACTGCCAGCAACTTGCAGCAAATTGCCAATTATTTAATTTCGCAAAAACTTTTCTTTGGAGTCAGCGCCAAAGCTCAACTTTCAAGCTTTGCAGCTGCTCGTCGCCTCGCCTCGCTCGTCTCTTTGGCCGATCGGCTCATATAAATTGATGGCTGGGGGCCAAATTATAACGCATTGGCAAACTAATTAAGGCAGTTGGGCTGATTCCATGGAACAATTGGCGGGCATTTATCGTAATTAGAGACAGGGCTGCGGGTCAAAGGTTGCGGGTCGCCTTTGTTGCTGCTCCTTTCATTACGAGCACTTACATCACGGGCGCGAGCGGCCCCAATGTCTGGTTTCAAGTTCAAAGGAACTGTTTCCCCCTTTCTCTCTTCCCCCCCTCGAAAGTCAATCAAATTTGTGCCTCGAATGGGGGGCTGGGTTGCTGCGAAAACATATAAATTTAAATTAAAAATTCGCTGATAAACTCTGGCCTTTCATTCGAGCCTGCAGCAATCCTTTGGGTCATTGGACGGCCTACAGAGAAACCTCAACAAAAAAAAATACGAGTACGAGGCCAAATTTCGGGCTGCCGCCGCCTAATTACAATAAATGGCCAGTCAGCTCAATTTCGTGGAAAGCCCAGTGGCAAATTTTAATTAATTTGCTGTACAAATTGTAATTTGAGGTGAACTTGATCTGCACAAAGGGCAGGCGTGGTGGGGCCTTCGAGCCGCAGAGCCGAAAACGATAAACTTCCTGCAGGGAAAGTCCTATCAGATGGAAAAGAGAGAGCGAAATGTTGAAAAAAAGGTTCCCTGCTTAAAGTCTGCTCTATAAAAATTTGCAAAAATGTTCAGTTATTTTCTGAAGTTATTCCAAAGATGAATATCAATTTGCAGAACCTTAAACCAATTTCGTATTATCGTAAAATAAATTTAAACCACCAGAGAAGAACAGCAGAAAAAGCACAAAAATTATCGATGGAATTTACGAGGGCTGGATGGGGAACATTTCGTGGAACTAATGCGTTCATCAGGATTTTTATGGTGTAAACAAAGCAATGAACCATTTCTGGCCCGTACGGATAAAGCCAATAAATCAACTATATTGGGGATATATTGGCGATAAAAGAGAGCAGAGGAAGGGAGAGCGAGAGAGAGAGAGAGAGAGAGAGAGAGATGGAATCGAGAGTGGCCGAAACTTTTTGCCAAGCCAAGCAGAATGAAACGGAGACCCCCAGAGGGGGTTTCAGAGGAAGTTTTTCTGCCTGGGATAATAAAAATCAATTTACGCACTTTTGCCTGTGAGGGACGTGGCCTTTATTGCTGCTCCACTCGATGTTGTCGATGTCTCCTTTGGCATTGTCTTCCTGGGGTCTAATCGGGGCTAATGGGAGACTGGCTCCGTGGAGGGAATGGAGGAGGAAAGTGCCTGGCTTTGACAGCGGTTGGCTCCTGTCAATGAGTGGGTAGCATGCAGCTTATCTCTGGCCTCGAGTGCTGATGTTTCACAGGACTTGTTTGTTGTTGTTGCCACAGCGCCCACATTAATTGTTGCTTTCAATTGCTTTTCTTTCCCCCGGGGTTACTTCTGCTTCTATCATGCTGATAGAATTATGAGCAGATACTCGGATATATATTTCTGTCCGTGGCACAGACTTTCATCTAGGTGAGAGGCAAAGGTATGTATATAAATTAAGCCAAACAAGCTGGAAAATGAACAGAGCCCCCAAGAAAAAACCACCAGCTGGCCAACAAAGGAAAGTACAGTGGGGCCGTGCATGTTAGTGGCTGCTTTGTGCATGTTTTTCTCTGCATTGTTCTCTGGGGAACCGGTGGAGATTATAGCCAGGAAATGCCTGCCTGCATTCTTGGCCAGCTGCAAAGCTGCAAACTCGTTCATTTGTTGGCCCTAATTCCAGTGCTTTTCCAAGCCATTTGTGTGCACCCTTTTTGGCTTTTAGCACAGCACGAATTCTGCTTTTATTGCTGAAACTCGTTCTCCATTGAGGCAGATGTCCTGCGGCTGTCTTTGCACGTCTCCCCCACACGCAAATCTCACCCGGAGATGGCTTCAAAAGTCAACAAGGCATTCACTTAGACACGACTCCTTTCGCATCTCTCTCGCTGAACATGGAAAAGTCGCGTGTCATCCCCTACCAGACATCCCCCCCCACCAACCAGTAACATCCTCAGCTGTCACTTGTAAGTCCTTTTCATGGCATCACTGGGACCGGGGACCTACCCTTCCTCGCGGAAAGAAGAGCCCTCGACTCCAGACGACACAAAGAGTGCGAACCAACTAGACGGAGACGAAGATGGAGATGGAGACTCCTTTAATATTCATTCTTCAGAGATTGCTAAAATCAAACTGGATGAGGAACAGCAGATAGAGGAAGCTGGTAATGGCCATGCGGAAGCCCATCCCATAGTTCACGTAGAACAGTCCGCAGTGACGGAACCTAAACCTTTGATGGCTGCAGAACAGAGCAAAGTCCGAGATCTGCAAGAGACAAAAGTAAGCCCTGAGAATCAGCCAACCAGCAGAAGCCCCTTTGAGCTTACACTTCGTTCCATTGCCACATCCAAGTGCTCGATGTCATTGAAGAGCTTGAGGATCGTGGAGGTCTTTCTGCCCGTTCGTTCGGCCAGATCGCATACGGCGATGGCCAGCCAGAAGTCCCACATGTTGATGATCAGGGCCTGGGGCACAATCAGCCACAGGATGAGATCCATGCCCTTGTGCAGGCTGATGCTGAAGATGATGTAGTAGTAGATGCCAAAGATGTTTGCGGAGAGAAAGCTGACCATCACCAGTACCATCTGGTAGTCGTAGAGGCCGGCCAGGCGACGGTTCAGCTCCAGCAGGCGACTGTACAGGCAGAGAAGTCTGTCCACGCTGGAGGAGTCCACTGCTTCGCCCTCCGCCAGCTGGTTGGCAAATCGCAGCAGCTCTCGATTCACGATCCACACACAGCGATAGATATAGACGACGGCCAGATGGAAGTGCGAGGCGCCCAGGAGGACCCCCAGGATGATCGTGCATAGACCGGTGACACCGAGAAACAGCTGCAGGCTGTATTTAGGATTCATTCCCAGTTCCATTATGAGCATAGAACAGACTTCCAGCACCACGGACAAGCCCTTGTACAGCACAAAGTCATCGAAGCTGCAGCTATCGTCCAGGGTATAGTGGCGGAAGTGGCACCTCTGGAGATCCATCAGCTCGTTGAGGATCTTGGCAATGTCCTCGCTGCGCCAGTAGCACCGCAGCAGCATCAGGGCTACCATAACGAGGCTGTGCAAATCGTGAGCGGCGTTGATTTGCTCGGCCAGGGGATTTCGCTGGAAGACCTCCATACGCACGGGTGTCTCCGTCTCCGTGTCGTTGGCCCGGATCATGGCCACGATGCCCACATTGAGGACGATGCCATAGCCAATTAGCCACTTGGAACGATGCAATTTCCTCGTCCAGCGGTCGTAGGTGAAAGGGAACAGTCCCAGGATCCATGAGCCGTACAGCGCTCCCCTCAGGGTGAAGTGAACTAATTTCTGTCGGAAGCCACCACCACGGCGGAACATCCCGGGCCGGAGAATCAACGTTGAATGGGAAAGGCAATTTCCCTCGTTTCGGGCAACGAATGTGAGCAGCGACAAGGATGGCTGGACGACAGATGGTAAAAGGCTGATGAAGGGCTTAACTACACTGCCCAGCAAACATTGTCCCATCACTCCATATGCCTGCCTGTACGTTCCCCTGTTTTGCTGGCGGGTATGCACATAAACGACCTCTTTGTATCCTGACTCATAATGCGAGCAACGTTTGCTGCGATTAAATCGTTTAATTAATTGGATGGACATGGAGTAGGAGTAGGCGTTGGAGCTGAAGCTCCTCCTGCCCCATGCTGCTGTCTGGGCTATGCCATTCCTGATGGACAGCTCATAAAAATAATTTCAAGAGGAAAAAACCAAACGAGAAATATTCTTAGGAGAGACTCAAGCCCCCCCAGAAAAACATTTAGATCTAAAATCTGTATAAAATACGCAGCTCAAGGATTCGAGTGCGATTTTGTCCCTGAAGGGAAATATCTTCACATTTGCAGAGTTCTTCAAGCAGACAAGCAGAAACCAATGGAGGAGGATTGCCCAACCAAGCGACGTCCCAAATTGATAGCCTGCACTGCCGTGGAAGTCTCTGAAGTTGTGCAAATTAAATGCCATTCGATTGGCATCGTCCCACACATCTCAGACGACAATTTTGATGCCTCACTGAGCAGCTGAGATGCGAGCAGGGATGGGGAGAATGTGGGATGGAGAATGTCTGGGCAGTCGGGCGATGGAAATCCTCTCATCTCTCAGAGAATCTTCGCTTAATTAGGCTCGATTGGTGGCTCAGAGGGCATCCGATATGACCTCAGGCTGACCTGCCACTCGACAAGAACAAGAAGTACTCCCCATCGGGACATCCCATCGATGTCACTCGATTGGACCTGCTTGCACCTCCTCTGCCCGCTGCTGGCCGCAACAAACTTTCGAATGGCTTCAACTTGTTCCCCCGATGCCGATGCGCCTGCAGTTTTTGACACTGTTGCAAAGTTAACAGTTCTCCTGCACCTGCACCTGCCCCCCTGCCACACCCACCCCCCTCTGTGGCAGTTATGTTTACTGGAAAACTTTTAGCACCTGTCACCAGTAAACGCCATCTCCTTTCCCTTGCCCTTTCCCGCTTCCCTTTTCATTTCGCGTGCATTTTTTTCCTCCTTTCGGAGTTTGTTTTTGGCAGCATTTGGACGAGTGACAGGTGAGGGGTTCCCCTTGCTCTTGGACGCAAAACCTTGGGTAAAATGTTGAGGTGATTAGTTCCGACCCTTTGGTCCACTCCCTTGTCAGGAGGGAAGAGTTGTGTCCGCATTAAATGTTGTTTATTATAGTCCGAGCAGAATTCAATTTGGATGCAAGTACCCTCCGTATTTGTCCTCTGGCTAGTGCATTTATAAGCAGATCCAATTCATTATCCAACCGCATTCTCATAAGAGCAGAGCCGCATCCTGTGTCCTCTGTCCTGTGTCCTGTGGGGTGGCTGACGGTCCTTTGACGGTCCCTTGCGGCCATTTGCCATTTGCATTTGCAATTGGAATTAGTATTAGGATTCTCCGAGTACACAATTGCAGTTTAAATTTTTAATTGCTGACCACAACAAAGAAACTGCAAACAGCCGGAGCACCTGCGAGGATCCTTTGGAACGGGGGACCTCCTGCGGCTCATCCAATTTGCATCGCTGCATAACCGGAATGACTTCTGGGCAGGGACTCCGCCTCCGACTCCCACTGCTGTGGTGGAGGACCCTGAAAGTGACTTCAACCATTCGCATTCGCAGCTTAATTTAACATGAAATGGTCTCCAATTGTGGCGGGTCTCTGCCTTTCTCCTGCCTCCCCCTTCCTTCTCTGGGAAACCGCAAAACGATTGCAGCTGAGAGGAGACGTGGAAATGTTTGTGGTCACAGTTGGTTGGGGGTTCTCCTCCCCATTCACTCTGCCATCAGCTCCTTCACTTGTATCTCTTATCTGTCAGATATTTGATAGCCCCTCTCTACCTCCAGCCCCTCTCTACATCTAAATTCGTGATTAAACGCAGCATTGAAGCGTCAAACGCACTTCTATAGGCACATCTCTGCCTCGGGGCTTGCCTTTCCCTTCCTCCGTTGACAATGCTGACAATTAGAATTGTTTCCCTTTGCACCCCATTTGCCACCCACGTGCGTGATTTTCTTTTAAATAAGGCTCAAAAATAACGACAACATCTCAAAGGTTTGCCTTGGAAAATGGAATGCGGAAAAAGTTCTCCCGCGCTGCGTATACGCCACGTGAGCCGCCCCCGAGACTGTCGCCTGCAATTAGGCAACGCCGCTCCTATTTTTATCCCGCTCACATAATTACAGGCAGACACGACCCGAAAGGGATATAAAGGATGTGAAGCATCCCAGGGATTCCGATTCCTCCTCCAGCCTTGACTGGAGATGGGAAAGCCCTTCAGCCGGAGAGGGATACTCCACCCTCGAGGGTGTGGCTGGGGCAGACCGAAAATAAGTTAATTAGACAAATTGAGTTAGCAAAGGGTTAGAGGGGATGGATGGGGGGCAGTAGGCGTGCTTAGTAAGCAATGTAATACGATTTATAATTCTTTCCTTATTCTTTCCCCTTTTTAGCTTTGGATCAAGTGATTCCAGGCAGGAACCGTAACTGTTATAAGTTGTAATATAAAAGAGTAAGAGTTACTTGTAATTTTGTTTAACTAAAATAAAAATATGAATTGAATATCATTTTTATTTAAACGTTTACAACGCGAGTTATTCCGTGGCTTTTATTTAAAAATTCAATAATCATAAATAAAAGTTGCTAAGTTGATCCTCCTTCGAACCAAGTGAATTATCATGCATACTCTTGATCTATGATCCAACACCTTTCATATGATACATCGCATGTCCCTCAAGGACGAATATCAGGGGTTCTACTGCTGTCTATTTTATTCCTCTCTAATATCACATTTGTTCTGTTGCAGTACCAGTATAGTAGACCAGTATATACTACAAAATACCGAAAAATACTACAAAACTCCAAATTACAAAACAATAAAATAAAATAAAATATTTTTATTCGTGTCGTTTCCTTCCGCTTTTGTTATTTGGCAACATGTCTGAGAACGACTGAACTTCACCATCGGAATACGAGGATTCGAATGGGATGCAATCCCATGCCAGTATAGAGTGAAGTTCGAACTCAGAGCCTCCTATAGACGGCAAATATTTATATGTATAAAGAGGAGAGAACAGAGAACCGAGAGGGCCGAGGGCTTAACGTGTAAAACGTTCTTCAAGGGGCCCCAGCTGTGCTTTACACGAAGGGATGGACCACAGAGAGAGTGGACCATTTCAGTTCTCTTCTCCATTTAATTACAATAGTTATAATCATTAAATATTATTTATAATTTATAATTAGTCAACGAAATCAACTTCCTTTGCGCAGACACAACACTCACCATCCTGTGGTGAACAATCCGATCTAGAGCAGTGTGCCTACATCTATTCTTTCCCTCTCTTTCCTTTTCGGCTGTGGCTTATCCAATAGGCTGTGGCATTTGCATTTTGAACTTCACAAAACATTCCCAAATTATAATATAAAATATAACATAAATGATGTCCGTGATTCGGGGCTTATATTCGGGGAATATTATTTTGAATGTCCCTGAACCAAAGAACAAGACCAGAGGGGAGCAGAGAAGTGTCCTTAACATTTTCCTTGGCATTATTGGAAATGTTTTCTCCTATTGCTGCCGCTTCCTGTTTGGCCATTATCCTAGCTGCTGTAATCCCTGCTCCCTGCTGTTGCTTTTTCCCTCCTCCTCCCTTCCCCACCTCTTCAGGGACAAAGTTTAATGTTTCGCTTGGAAAAGGATTCCCGGACCCTGCGGGCAAACTTAACTCTCAAGTCGTTAAAATCCAATGGAAATGGCCTCCAGGGGGGAACGATCTCTCCACAGCTGTCGTAGTTAAGCAAGCCCATTCCACCCACTTGTGTCGCTCCTCCCTCTGTGGGTTGCAGTGGGGGCCGAAGTGACCTCATCATAATTTCAGGGATGGGAACTCTCTCGCTTCGAATGCAATCGGTGCATAAATTTCGCCTATCAAAGGAAAGCAAACAGCCACGCCCCACCCCTCCCCCTTCGGACACAAATGAAGTGCAAAATCGGGGGAAAACGAAGTGGGAAAATATTTGCACAACAAAGTAGCAAAAGGAAAACAAACGAAAAACGTGAAAAATATTTTCACAGTTGCAAAAGTTCCCCTTCGTTGCCAGGAAAACTGTTGGAAAAGCGTCAAAAAAATGCGATGGTAAATATTTATGAAATATTTTCGCAGATTCTGCAAATCAAATCAAATTCTGTCCGAGTGATTTATGATAGGAACGAGGGGGAGCAGTGCCACAGCGAAGGCACTCCTGCAGTTGTTTACTTGTCAAAGGATTGCATGGGACTCGCCCCATTTCCATTCCCTCCTCCTCAGATCTCCACATGGGGCAATCCCCTCTGCAGACAATGCAATTTGCAGGTGTACTTTTGTCTCCCCGTTGCCTCCCCTTTACTCGTGTGGGAGTTTTGATGGGAAAGCCTGCAGTCCGACATGGAAAACTCTCAGAAATTGACTTACAAAGAAGGAGAGCGACGGTGGGTGACGGGTCAGGGGGAAATTAGCTCTGCTGCAGTGAAATAAATTGCAAATTTCAAGGCGGAAATTGAAAATTTATTGGCAAGAAAGAAAAAGTTGTTAACGGCTGTCCTCCCGCCTCCTCCCCCTTCTGCTGCTCCTTGAACTTTCTCCTCGAACTTCTCTTTCCTTGTTTTTCGTTACCTTCACTGGGTGGAAGTCTCCCAGAGATCCTTCAGCGAGCGATGAGGGATGGGCGAGTGCTGCAGTTGCGCGAATTGATGATCCTTTCTGTCAGGAGACAAAGTGCCAACATTTTGCACCGCTATCAAACGGAGACAAACGGAGAGAGACCCCTCCTCCAGTGCCCGCTCTCTAG